TTGAGAAGAGCGCAGCAGGACACATACTGCCTTAACGGAGTCTGGGGTCTGGAACCAGCACGCTTGCAAGTGAGCTGATAAGTATACTGACAGAGGATGTATAATGACACATAAATAAACAGGGACAAATGATCCGGTAGATACATGTATACAGACTGAAGTATTGACTGTAAAGTGCCATTTTCGCTTACATGAGGATATAAAGATACGTTTTAGCCTTTTCACTTCAGCTTTCTTGTTCCACGATAGCATTCTTGTATCTGCGCGAGCCTGACCTTCAGACGGAGATATTACGAATCGCTCTCGAATAACCACACCAAGTTGTGTCACCAACCATACAGACGCGATTGGCAGACAGAAGAACAGGACCATGGCAGGGAACGCACACGAACTACTGTACAGTACATCGGGGTTCGGGATTGTTGGGCTGACCACCGTCTTATCACTCCGCCTCAATGTCCCCTGACCACGAAAAAAGGCATCGAAACACCAGATCAAACCGAACCAAACCCAGATAAACCATGTCATGTTACCAACCGACCATGTCCAGCACAACACCTGACCTGACCGACACCCATGTCCTTTTCGAATTTCCAGTCTCGTCTCGACTCGAATCTCCGTCAACGCTCATGTTTGATTCTGCAGCCAAGCTGCGATGGCTCTTTCTGAAATTACGCATTCCACCTCATTCAACCTTACTCTAAACCGCTGTTCGCCTCTACATTCACGTGTTTTGGGAGGATGTATCATGCAGTGAAATTGGACGATACACTACTGTAGGCCGCGCTTTAGGGTTGGACAGGATTGGACTCCGTTCTGCTCCCCTCCACTTCCCTCGCACTGCTCGTGCTGGCACACATAACAGCCAATCCACTTACACGTACACGTACCTACTCGCTACCGACAGATGCACGCACGCATAGCAGGGCCAGTTTCTGCGTTCAGCCCGAACAGATTTCTTCCGATCTGCAGGAATGCGAAAACAGCTTTCGGTCTCACACTGCTGTACCGCACTGTATCCCTAACTTGTAAAACCGCGTCGTACTATTGGAATGCACAGGACGACGCGACGAGAGCTGGTCGACGCGCGTGTCGTGTGGTGTCCCTACTCCTTCGCACGTCCTGGCCGCATCGTGCCAAGCGTCCATGAGACCTCCTAAGTTGGTTGCGGAGAATTCTAGCAAAGCCGTTGCGTTCATGAGACCTCCTAAAAGAGTCTTGTTCCCAAAAGGCTCCTTTCAACACACGACGCATGTGCTCGACACGTGTCTCTCGTCTCCACAATAGGAGCGTGTGCAGCTCGAACCTCGACGCGCGGCGCGGCGCAGCAAACGTCCCATTCGCAAGTTCTCTTCAGTAAGGTCACAATGCCTATTATCGCGTACGTACGGTACGAGCACCTAATGTGTACATGTAATCCGCTGAGCCTGATACGCGTCAAGTTTGACTAAGTAGTGGTGACAGCTGGAGGTTCCTCTTTTTTCCTTAGTGTACCCTATTACTGTAGCTTTTGTTATATTTATTCTTATTGATGGCGCACGAGAGCAAGTATGCACGACTGCATGTGCACGACCTGTCGAGTCCCATCAGCTCGCACGGAGAAGTTACCCGATGGCCTCAGCCGCAGCAGCATCTGTGAAAGCGGATGTGGCTCGGCGCGCAATCGTTACCATCCCGCCACGGACGCCGCAGCATCTGTTCGGTTCGGTTCGATTCGGTTCGCTTCGGTTTCCGTTGGGATCTCTCGGTGCGCTGGCGCTGCTGCTGCTCTTGCTGCTTCTTCCTCCGTGTGTCATGCCGCGAGAAACAGGCCCCGAGGCACAGGCTGCTGCTGCTGCCGTTGCTGCTGCTGCTGCTGCTGCTGGTGCTGCTGATGGTTCTGGTGCTGGTGGTGGTAATGCTGGTCAAGACCTTGGGAAACAGCAGCAGGGCGAGCAGCAGGAGCAGGAGAAGCAGCAGCGGAGGGATTTGAGCGCAGCGGTAGCGAGAGAGAGGGTGGCGGAGGAGCAAGGTGCCGCGGCGCCGCTGCTGCACCGACAGCAGTGGCACATCACGTGGTTGCGCGCGGAAGGCGCGGAGGCGGAAGCGGAGGCGGAGGCGGAGGCGGAGTCGGGGGACGCGGGGGAAGCGGGGGAGAACAAGGAGGAGGCGCCAGGGAAGCGGGAGGGAAGGCGAGATGAGAGGAAGGAGGGGATTGAGCAAGGGAGTGGAGATGGTGTGGTGGGGCATGACAGAACAGTGGCTCATGGGGAGAGCGTGGGGGCGAGGCGAGGCGAGGGGGTGGAGGGAGAGGAGAGTGCAGGCACAAAGGTGGGGGGCGGGGACGGTGGGGATGGGGATGGGGGCAGCGGCGGGAGCGGGAGTGGGAGCGGGAGCGGGGATGGGGATGTGGGTGGAGGCGGGAGGGGGGACGGGCAGAGAAGACGGAGACATGGGGTGTGGAGAGAGGAGGGGCAAACACATGCCAGGGTGCGTGTGCAGAACGTGCGTTTGATGGGGGCAAATGGGATAGTCGAAGACAGTGGAGGTATGGTAGTGGCAGCTGAAGGGGAGAGGGGGGATGACGGGCTGAAGGGAGGTGGGGAAGGGGCTTCGGATGGAGGCGGGGAGGGAGGTGTGGGGGTTAGCGAGGATGGGAGCGCTGAGGGGAGCGCTGAGGGGAGCGCTGAGGGGAGCGCTGAGGGGAGCGCTGAGGGAACGCATGGAAGCCTTGCTTTTGAGCAACGGCGAAAGTGCAGACCTTTTGGTGGTGGTGGTGACAATGAAGAAGATTGCCTGCACGCACACGTGCACGCATTGCTGGGCCCCACTGTCACTGCTTCCCATGCTGCTGCTGCTGCTGATGCTGCTGCTGGTGCTTCTTCTTCTTCTTCTTCTTCTTCTTCTTCTGAGGCGCCTAAAGAAACGGGCGCTGCTTCTTCTTCCGGTGCATTGAGTGCTGACGTCTCCTCTTTCGAGGCGTCTCAAAAGCATTCTTTTGGTGTAGCGGGCGATGAAGCCTTCTCCTCCTCCTCCTCCTCCTCCTCCTCCTCCTCCTCCTCCTCCTCCTCCTCCTCCTCCTCCTCCTCCTCCTCCTCCTCCTCCTCCTCCTCCTCCTCCTCCTCCTCCTCCTCCTCCTCCTCCTCCTCCTCTTCCTCGTCCCAGCATATTCACCTGAGCAGGAGGAGGAGCGGTGGGCAGACGGCGGGGAGCCAGTGGGGGGAAGGAGCGCAAGAGATGGAGCTTTTGGGTGATTCGCAGGAGCACGGAGCAAGTCAATCTGGCACGGAGCATTTCCTGGAGGTGGTTCGCGCAGAGGAGAGGAAAGCCGCAGCAGCCAAGAGAGCAGCGAGTGGAGCAGAGGACAGCGGGGGGGCGAAAGGAGAGGGTTTAGGAGAGGGCAGGGGAGAGGGCATAGGAGAGGGTAGAGGAGAGGGCAGGAGAGAGCGGAGCTTTCTCATGCACCGGAGCTCTGATGAGGCGCATAGCGCTACTGTTGCTACTGCTGCTGATGTCACTGCTACTTCTGATGCTACTGCTGCTGCTGATGATACCATGTGGAGTAGTCTTCAAGCCACTGTTGCTCAGCTGCTGCTGCTTGCTCCCTCCTCCTCCCCCGCACCCTCTCCTGCTCCCGCCCCACTTCCTAACCCTTCCCCTCCGCCTCCTCCCGCTCGTCCCCCCCCTCCCGCTAGACCTCCCCCTCCCCGCCCCCCTCCACCCCGGCCCCCAGCTAGCTCCCCTCCCCCGCCTCCTCGTCCCCCTCCCTCTCCCCCCCCTCCTAAGCCCCCGTCCCCGCGGCCGCCTCCCATTCCCCCTCCGCCTCCCCTTCCTCCTCCCCCGCCCCCACCCGCTCTTTCGAACCCCCCTCCTCGTCCCCCTCCTCCCACACCCCCCACTGCTCCCCGACCCCCTCCTCCCACACCCCCCTCTGCTGCCCCGCCCCCTCCCCCCACAACCCCCCCTGCTCCCCGCCCTCCCCTTTCTCCCGTTCCCCTTCCCGCCGACTCCCCCTCTCCAGCCCCAGCAGCCGATTCCCCCGCTCCCTCCCCTGCCCCTGCTCCTTCTCCCTTGCTCGGCCCATCTCCCGCCCCCTCCCCTACCCCAACCTCTACCTCCCCCTCTCCCCCTCCCCCCAAAGCCCCTCCTGCGCCACCTACCCGTTCCCCGCCCCCATCTCGCTCCCCCCCTCCCAGTCCCTCTACCCCTCCCCCTCCTGCTCCCCCATCCCCCTGCACCCCCTGGCAATCCGCGCCCATCCTCTTTATAAACAGACCCTGGGAGATCACGAAACGGCTCAAGTATCCTCCCTCCACCACGGTTCTCCTTATCGTAAACTCCTCTTTAAACCTCCCGTTTGGTATAGTCTTCAACGCCTCTTATTCCTGTACTATTCTTAGATCCGCCAAGCCGGGGGAAGGGGGGAGCAGTGGGGCGGACGGCGCATGGGGGGGTTTGTGGGGTTGTGGCAGAGAACAGGAAGCGGAGTGGCAAGCGGAATGGCGAGCGGAATGGCGAGTGGAATGGCGAGTGGAATGGCGAGTGGAGCAGAAGCAGCAGGAAGGGCAGAGGCAGCGGGCAGAGCAGGAACAGAGGCAGCTGATTTCTGGGAAGAAGGAGCATTAAATGAAGGCGCAGACTGGGAAGGAGTGGGAGGAGAGGGGATGGCGGAAGCGGGAGCAGCAGCAGGAGTTAGGGCAGAGGCAGCAGGTACAGCAGGAGAAGCAGAGGTAGGAGATTATTGGGAGATGAGTGAGGTGGTAGATGGGGAAAGGGTACGAGGAGAGGGGATGGCGGAAGCAAGGGCAGCAGCAGCAGCAGCAGCAGCAGCAGCAGCAGCGGAAAGAGGAGGAGGAGCTTCAGCAGCAGCAGCAGCAACAGCAACAGCAACAGCAACAGCAACAGGGGGGGTGCCCTGGGGGGGTTTCACGATCCGACTCGTTATAAGAACAGATCAGCCGGTTCTGTCGATACAGGGCGCGCACAACGTGCTTATATACGACGTGAGCTTCGTGCTTCGGATGGATGACACGTCAGCGCCGTGCCGGAGCGTGCCCGTGGTGGTGAACGAATGGGACAGCTGCCCTGCCATCCACGTCAGCAGATCGTACGGCGTGCAGATCGGCAAGGTGAGACGGTGAAGGGGGATGAAGGGGGGTGGAGGGAGTTGGAGGGAAGTGAAGGTGATGGGGGTGTTTGAGTTGACATTTCTTCAGACAGAGCTTCAGTCAACCATCCCGATTGCCCCCCCTTTTCCCTTTCCTTCCTTCACTCCCAACGGTTCCCCCGTTTTCCCCCTTTCTGCCTCGTCTCCTTTCGCTCTTTTCCAGGGCCAAGTGTACGGCCGGATAGACATGCTGCGAGTGATGGGGGCTCGGATCGATGGCATGGTGATCACATCTCTGGACAGTTACGCATGCTGCGAGTGATCAATAGGCATATCCAGAGTGCTCTAAGCACCTCCTCATGCTTGTATTCCCCGTTTTCTTTACCCACCCTCCCTCCCTCCCCCCCTCTCTCCCCTCTCCCTTTCCCCCCCTCCCTCCCCATTCCCCCTTTTTCCGCCCTCTGCCTCAACTCAATTCTCCCGCTCCCTCCAGGGCCAAGTGTACGGGCGGATAGACATGCTGCGAGTGACTTTTGAGTCGATTCAAAAGTCTCCCTGCTCCGCCTCACCCCCTTCCCCCTCTTCCAGGGCCAAGTGTACGGGCGGATAGACATGTTTCGAGTGATGGCGTCACGAATTGACGGAATGGTGATCACATCCCTGGATGTTGACACGTCAGCAGGGGCTGTCCACGTGGCACTCTCTGGCCACGGCCCCACGCTGCTGCGCTCCGATATAAGCATCACCAATAACGAGATTTACGGTGCGTGGGGTGGATGGGAGAATGTCTGTGCATGTGAATGCGCGCACGCTTATGTGTCTGTTGGGGGGGGTTGGTGGGGGTTGGGGAGGGGAGAGGAGGGGAGGGGGGAAGGGAGGGGGGGAGGTGTGGGGGTTGTTCTTTGCTCTCCAGCCTGTATGGGCGGATTGATGGGCATATGGGGGGCATAGAAACATATGGGGCATGGCATGGCATCATGGCATCATGGCCATGACAGAAGAGCAGGAGGCCTTCCAAAGTAGAGATGAAGCCTGGTGGCACCGCGGAGGTATTAAAGCACGCAGGCAGGGAGCAGCTGGCCAGGCTGTGCTGTGCTGTGCTGTGCTGTGCTGTGCTGTGCTGCGCTGTGCTGTGCTGTGCTGTGCTGTGCTCTGCTCTGCTCTGACTGGCCTTCAGTACGCTTGAGCGCACTTGTCCTGGTTGACCGCTTTGGTAGACCGCTTTGGTACCCCCTTTGGTTGACCGCAGCACAACACACGAGCGCATCTCCAAGGCCACCCTCACCCCCACCCCATCTTGGCGCGGTTGACCTCTCTTAGCTTCTCTCCCCGTTCCATTCCACCCACTTCCCTGCAGGAGTGGACATGCCTGTTATTCTCGACTCGGGGGTTATCGGTGCGGCAGTGACAGTCACCAACAACCTCATCCACTCCTGCTGCTTGTGCCGCAAGTTTTCAGGCACTTCAACACTCTACTCCTCCCGTTCCACTCGCCCCCCTGCAGGAGTGGACACGCCTATTATTCTCGACTCAGGGGCTGTCGGCGTGACAGTCACCAACAACCTCATCCACCCTTTTGGCTCTGGCTCTTGTCGTGAGTGTTCCGGTGCATCTCTTTGTCCTCCCTTCCACTCGCCCCCCCACAGGAGTGGACACGCCCATCATTCTCGACTCGGGGGTCATCGGCGTGACAGTCACCAACAACCTCATCCACCCTTTTGGCTCTGGCTCTTGCCGTGTGTGTTCCGGTGCCTCAACACCTCGTTCTCCTCCCTGCCACTCGCCCCCCTGCAGGAGTGGACACGCCTATCATTCTCGACTCGGGGGCCATTGGAGTGACAGTCACCAACAACCTCATCCACTCTTGCTGCTTGTGCTGCAAGTTTTGAGGCACCTCAAAGCTGTGCTCTTCCCGTTCCACTCGCCCCCCGCAGGAGTGGACATGCCTGTTATTCTCGACTCGGGGGCCGTCGGCATGGCAGTCACCAACAACCTCATCCACTCGTTTGAATCCGCTGCGAGTCTTAAAGCGCCTAGAAAAACCATGCTCTTTTTCCCTGCCACTCGCCCCCCCGCAGGAGTGGACACGCCTATTATTCTCGACTCAGGGGCCATCGGAGTGACAGTCACCAACAACCTCATCCACTCGTTCGGATCCGCTGCGATTCGGTGCGGTGCGGGTGGGTACAGTCAGGGCGACTGCATGCTCTCCACCATCTCCTACAACTCCATTCAGAGGAGGGGAGGCGTGCCTGGTGGTTCTGCCAATGGGGCCTCTGTTGCTGCTTCTGTTGCTTTTGCTGCTGCTTCAGCTGCTTCGGTTGCTTCTGCTACCTCTTCGGCTTTCGATGGCAGTGGGATTGGCAGTGCTGCTGCTGCTGCTGCGGCGGCGGCTGCTGCTGCTGTTGATTATGATGATGGCGGTGGTAATGTCGATGGGGGTGTTGGTGGTGGGGGTGTTTTGGTGGGGGTGTTGGTGGTGGGGGTGTTGGTGGTGTGGGTGTTGGTGGTGGGGGTGTTGGTGGTGGGGGTGTTGGTGGTGTGGGTGTTGGTGGTGGGGGTGTTGGTGGTGGGGGTGTTGGTGGTGGGGGTGTTGGTGGTGTGGGTGTTGGTGGTGTGGGTGTTGGTGGTGTGGGTGTTGGTGAGGCGACATCCAGTGTTTCAACTAGCAGTGGGGGCGAAGATGTGCCTTACTTCTCCTCTCTCCATCGCCCCAGCTTCCACTCAAGATATGAGAATCGCTATCACACCCTGGCTCATGCACATACTCGTGCTCTAGCGCACCAGGAAGCTCCGCAAGTTGTTATTGAGACTGCTACATCCAGACCTGCAACAGCTGCGCATGATACAGGCGCATCTTCTTTATTAGATTTGGGTTTTGAAAGTGATGGCGATGCTGGTGGTGTGAATGCCAAGGCAGGGGACGCAGGAGCAGAAACAACGGAAGGACGGGAACTACTGGGGAAAGGAGTGGCAGACACAACAGCAGCAGCAGCAGCAACAGCAAGGAGGAACAAAGAGAACAACAGCAGCGGCAAGAGCAGCAGAAGCAGCAGCAGAGCGCAGGGCGTTTGCGTCAGCAGCTGGCAGCAGCAGCGGTGGCAGCTCCACCGGCATCTACTTTGCCACAAGCTGGCTCAACCCAGGTATGCAGGGACTCAGGTGTGCATGTCTGCACGTAAGGAGCAGAAATGAAATGTGATTCGACTCAGAAAGCAGTGGTGGGACCTCCACTGGCTTAACTCAGGTGTGCACGTGAAAGGAGAAAGAGGCACAGTGCACCTACGTGCTCAGCATGGATAGCTGCTACTGGGTGGCACGAAAGAAGAGCACATGAGTCCTCTCTCTCTCCTAACTCGATTCCCTTCTCCACCCTGCCTTGTTGCTGCAGGCAACCGCGCGCAGTGCAACTACGTGTTTGGCACGGAGAGCTGCTACTGGGTGGGCGAGAAGGGGAGCATAAGAGGCATGTTTCCCTGCACCCAATCCGCCCTTGCACCCGTTTCTCCTCCTTCCTCCTTGTTGCAGGCAACCGCGCGCAGCGCAACTATGTGTTTGGCACGGAGAGCTGCTACTGGGTGGGCGAGCATGCGATGGCGGGGAGACGAGAGTTGCTGCTGGGTGTTTGTTCCCATACCGTACTCAACCGCCCATTACCCACTTTGTGCAGGCAACCGCGCGCAGTGCAACTATGTGTTTGGTACGGAGAGCTGCTACTGGGTGGGCGAGCATGCGATGGGCGTGCGGGTGAGGGGCGGCGCGTGTGTGCGCACCCCCCTGGGCGTAGTTATGGATAATGGCAAGAGGTGAGCAGTGCGGAGAGAGGGGCAGGTGATGCGGGGAGGGGGAGAGGCGAGGCAAGGAACGAAGTGACTTGAAAGGCGTACAGGTGAGGGGCGGTGCGTGTGTGCGCACCCCTCTACGCATGGTCATGGATAATGGCAAGATGTGAGCAGTGCGTTGGCGGGGAGGTGATGCGGGGTGGCGGAGAGGTGGCGATTGTGTGTGTACCCCCCTGGGCGTGGTCATGGATAATGGCAAGAGGTGAGCGATGGGGAGAGAGGGGGAGGTGATGCGGGGAGGGGGAGAGGCGAGGCAAGGAACGAAGTGACTTGAAAGGCGTACAGGTGAGGGGCGGTGCGTGTGTGCGCACCCCTCTACGCGTGGTCATGAATAATGGCAAGAGATGAGGAGTGCGTTGGGGGGGAGGTGATGCGGGGTGGCGGAGAGGCGGCGATTGTGTGTGCTGTGCACCCCCTCGGCGTGGTCATGGATAATGGCAAGAGGTGAGCAGTGGGGAGAGAGGATGGAGGTGAGGTAAAGGGTGGATAGGCGAGGCAAGTAACAATGTGTTGCTCTTCCCCAGATATGCGTGCGGGTGAGGGGCAGCGATTGTGTGCGCACCCCCCTGGGCGTGGTCATGGATAATGGCAAGAGGTGAGGTGGAGGAGGGCGGTGAAGCCTGTAGGTGTGTGTGGGCGGGGAAGGGGGGGGGGGGGGAGGAGAAGTGAGGCAGAGGTTGAAGTGGCATGTGCAGTGCACGCTCCCCTGGGTGTGGGCGTGGGGAATGGCAAGAGGTGAGGGGGAATTGGGGAGGGAAAGGTGAAGTGCGGGCGTGGAAAAGCGGTGCTGAGAACTCTCAAGTACACCTTGGAAAAGAGATGCTGAGAACTCTCAGAATTATCCTGGAAGAAAAAAAAAATGTGATGCCTTACGAATGAGGGGGTGCGTGTGTGCACCCCCTTGGGCGTGGATATGGAGAATGGCAAGAGGTGAGGGGAAGGTGCGAGGGAGCTGAGATGGAGGGATGGGGAGAGGCACGGGAGAGGGGTTGAGGCAGGGGCTGGGAAGAGTGAGGCAGTGGGGAGTGGTGAGGTGAGGTGAGGATAGGGGAAATGTGGAGGAGGAGGAGGATGAGAATGGGTTGAAATGGGGAGAGGTGAGAGGTGAGACGCTATATGATTACGTATGTGTGTGGTTCGAGCATGAATGAATAGCTCTCATGCACATAGTCCTCTTGACTCACAACAATCATCATTACTCGACCCTCTCCCCCCCCTTCCTCTCGTTCCCAACACCCCTCTCCCATTTTCCCTTCCCAACACCCTCCCCACCCCCGTCCCAGGAATGACATACGGTGGCTGATAATGCGGGCCAGCAGCAAAGCGCCAATCACGCTCTCTTGCACTCAGCCCAGCCTGTTCAACTGTGGGAGCCCCATAGGCCGTTACTGGGAGGGCATGCTTAATTCTCACAAGCACCCAATCTAACCCCAATGTGCGCCTCCCAAACACGCCCCGTTCCCCCGTCTCCTCCCTCACCCCCCGTCCCAGGAACGACATTCGGTGGCTGATAATGCGGGCCAGCAGCAATACGCCAATCACGCTCTCTTGCACTCAGCCCAGCGTGTTCAACTGTGGGAGCCCCATCGGGCGCTACTGGGAGGGCATGCGCCGCTCCTACTACCGCACACCCGCCATCACTGCTGTGAGTAGCTTCAGCTCACTGAACCGTGGCCTTGAGTGCGAGCAACATACAGTGCATGGGAATAGGCGTGTTCAACTGTGGGAGCCCCATCGGGCGCTACTGGGAGGGCATGCGCCGCTCCTACTACCGCACACCCGCCTTCACTGCTGTGAGTAGCTTCAGCTCACTGAACCGTGGCCTTGAGTGCGAGCAACATACAGTGCATGGGAATAGGCGTGTTCAACTGTGGGAGCCCCATCGGGCGCTACTGGGAGGGCATGCGCCGCTCCTACTACCGCACACCCGCCTTCACTGCTGTGAGTAGCTTCAGCTCACTGAACCGTGGCCTTGAGTGCGAGCAACATACAGTGCATGGGAATAGGCGTGTTCAACTGTGGGAGCCCCATCGGGCGCTACTGGGAGGGCATGCGCCGCTCCTACTACCGCACACCCGCCTTCACTGCTGTGAGTAGCTTCAGCTCACTGAACCGTGGCCTTGAGTGCGAGCAACATACAGTGCATGGGAATAGGCGTGTTCAACTATGGGAGCCCCATCGGGCGCTACTGGGAGGGCATGCGCCGCTCCTACTACCGCACACCTGCCTTCACTGCTGTGAGTAGCTTCAGCTCACTGAACCGTGGCCTTGAGTGCGAGCAACATACAGTGCATGGGAATAGGCGTGTTCAACTATGGGAGCCCCATCGGGCGCTACTGGGAGGGCATGCGCCGCTCCTACTACCGCACACCTGCCTTCACTGCTGTGAGTAGCTTCAGCTCACTGAACCGTGGCCTTGAGTGCGAGCAACATACAGTGCATGGGAATAGGCGTGTTCAACTGTGGGAGCCCCATCGGGCGCTACTGGGAGGGCATGCGCCGCTCCTACTACCGCACACCTGCCTTCACTGCTGTGAGTCAATTGATAAGGGCGTGTATGATTTTTGAAACTGCCATACGTTTACGTTTTTTTATTCGATTGTAGCATGTGAACACAGAGTGAACGTTATTCGACTTTGAGCTATAGCAAGTCCGAACCGCGGGTGTCAAAGGTGCTAGACTCACAATCACACGCACAGATGCCAATTTGGAGGTTCGAGATTATAGGGGTGAACCGAGCCGCCTAGAGGGTGCGTAGGTTACCTGGTGTTATCTTTTTGACAGCGCGACAAGTCCACGAAGAATTTGCGAGCGTCGCTGCTCCTTGTACGTGCCTAAAAACACACACGTTCGGTTCATCATGCAAAACCACGTTTGGAAAAATCTCGACTCTTGTTTACTTTTGTATGTTCGCATTTGGTAGTTCCCAGCGTGAAGTCAACATTGACGAAACATACTTGCGATATTGGCAAAACTGGTTACCACCAAAAGTTTGACCCATTTTACGAACTCGAAAAAATATCATACACGCCCTAATCTGGTTGGTTGGGATGTGAGAGGGAAAATCGATTTCTATTATGAGCAGTCCCAAAACTCGTCTCGTGTTGCAGTCCCCTCGGACCTCAGTCTTTGAGGCGCCTCAAGTCTCAAGTCTCAATCTTTCAGCATCCGGCCCCACACCCACCCATCCACCCCTCAACAGGCAGGCCTTACCCTGGCTGTCTAGCATCTGCCAACAGACTGACACCAACGGCACCCAGTGCTCCCTCACCTCTTTTCTCTTGAGTCAACTCAAGAATCGACTAAATTTCTTTCCTCCCCTCCCCATCCCCACACCCACCCATCCACCCATCATCAGGCATTCCCCTGGCTGTCCAACATCTGCCAGCAAACTGCCATCAACAACACCCAGTGCTCCCTCACCGCTTTATGTTTCAGCCGACTCAAGAGTCGACGCAAGATTTTTACTCTCCTCCCACCCCCTCCCCCCTTCCCCCCCTCCCACCCACCAAACAGGCCTTCCCCTGGCTGTCCAGCATCTGCGAACAGACTGACATCAACGGCACCCAGTGCTCCCTCACCTCTTTTCGCTTGTGTCAACTCACCCACCCACCCACCCACCCACCCACCCACCCACCCACCCATCCATCCACCCATCCACCCATCATCAGGCATTTCCCTGGCTGTCCAACATCTGCCAGCAGACTGACATCAACGGCACCCAGTGCTCCCTCACCCCCGCGCCGCCTGTTGCTGCTCCTCCCGCCCCTCCTGCTCCCCCTGCCCCTCCCTCTTCCCGTCCTCCACCCTATCCTCCTCCCCGTCCTTCTCCCACTCCTTCTCCACGCCCCATCTCCTTCATCTTTTCCTTCAAGCCAACTCTCCACCGTAACACCACCCATTCGATCAAAACACACGCCCTCCCACCTCCACCTCC